GATCTGGGATAAGATCTAGGTGGGGACGATGTATATTCTATTTTCATGTTCAGCAAAGCGGCCAGACCCTGAGATTTTGATGAATGTGCGCGTCGCCAAAGAAAAATGTATGAAAACGTTTTTCAGGCATGAGAATTTTACGAGAAAATAATTGCGGAACATTGTCCCCTCGATCTCCACCGCAATACGGGTACCTCTCTCTCCTTTACTCTATCTCTTAATATTAATTGGCGTTCAGTGAAAAACTTACCAGATAATCGGACTGGCAGCTTTTGCCGCTTAGACTCGGCGCCAGGTTGTCGCCATCGCGTGAGGGTGAGGATTCCTATAAGCCAAACAAAGATCAATCATTAGAGGTGTTGGAGGGGGGATTACTGTGATGTTAAGTCTACCTGAAGCAGATCCTCCAGGCTCTCGATATACTCGATGGCATTGCGCAAGATCTCAACCTTGGGCAGGCGCTGGTTGGGATTGGACGATGTGCGTCGCTTCAGTATCTCGAAGGCCTCGTTAACCTAGAATGTGAAAAGAAATCATCAATTAACGGCGATCGTAGAAATCATGGAAATCCATTAGGAACATCATAAAAACACAGCCAGCCCCATCATCGGGCGTGTTCCCCTTTAAGTGCCTGTTTAATAAAACATATTTCAAATTAAATAGAGCATAAAATGTTCAACAATTAAACCATTCGCCGCCCCACGGTCTTCGCTTTATGACAGCCAACAGTGTCAGAGCTGACGACCATCGAGAGTCCCTGTTCTGTCCTCCCCCTTTCGGTGTACAACATTTCGATTCCATTTGCATCGCATAATGTCTCTATGTGGAGCTATAAATACGTCTGGGGTTCATCTACAGCTTTTACGATTCTCAAACTCATAAATGGTGATGTTAAACTCTTGGTCTTGGCAAATCTTCCTCTTGTTTTATGCTGTTGTTGGGTGGTTTCCCTATTTGTTCTTTAACGGCCTCAGGGGCCCTCCCTGGTGATTGGCAAACAAACGATGGATGGATGGCAAGTGGCAAGTGGCAAAGTGTTAATTTGTGTGGTGGTGCAACAAAGTTGCAGTTGAGTATTGCTTAGGATGGTTCACGATTATAGTACACTATTTTGGATCTACTAGCTAGGGAAATGTCATGCAAAAATTCGAATTGAGGAAGAAGAAATGGCCCAAAGGGTACACAAATAATCTTCCCTCTAAGGCATTTTTTCGACATTTTTTTCATGGGTTGTTGTTAAGTCTCATCAAATTAAATGAATTCAAATAAATGAATTGTTATTATTATTAATTTCCTATCATTTCTACATTATATTTTCAGTTCAAGGAGATGATATAGGAAAAGTGTCTATGATATTTACAAATGATTTACAATGTAGATTTGACATCAACCGCATAAAAGCTTAGTTCCAGATTAACTGACGACATTGAAAGGATAAATGAAGGCATGAATATCTGATTTGTTAGTTACGCATCTAAACGTTTTATGCTCTTGGAAAATAAGTATATATTTCCATTATGCAAGAGATTTTTCATTGATAAAAGGAACGCTCCAAGGATCTTTTTAATGCGTTCCGAATATATGTTAGTGGACTAGACTACTTGCTCTGGCAGACACTAGCAGAATCCATCTTATTCCAATTGAAACTACTGTCTTACCTTTCTCAGTCTCCTGCGCTCTCGCATGGTGGCCGCCTTTCGTCGGTCCACGGTGACGCTTTTCTTCTTGCACGCCTTGCAGGCCCACGTGAGGCAGGGGCGCGAGGACTGGGCCGAGGCGCAGACCAGTGGCGCCAGTACATGCTCCTCGGAGTCCAGGCTGCTGTTCTCGTCGTCGTAGTCCGTGGTGTAGATGGGCGACGGAGTCATGGTCATCGTCAGCTGCTTGTCCAAGTCCGCGGGATGGGCGGCGCTCTGGCCGTAGCTGCACGAGGAGGCTGATGTGGAGGCGGAGGCAACATTGGTGCCCGAATTCGGATCCCCGACGGCATTGAAGCGGCTGAAGAAGTTCTGCAGTGTCTGGTGGGGATTTTGGCTGGCATTGGCATTGCCATTTGTATGTCCCAGAGGATTGCTGTGTCCCAGGGATGGGTTGTAGCTGCTGTAGTCGTATGAAGGATGTTGCTGTTGCGGGTAGCTGTTGTTGTACTCCTGCTTAATGCTGCGGCCAGTTTGCATTTCACTGCCGACACTGTGGTACTTGGTCATCGTCACTGCCACTTAACTGCACTTCACTTAAGCACCGATACGATCCCTTTGAGATCACTCTACAGATCCTGCTGCGACCACTTCACACTCCCGATTCTTGATTTCGATTCACGTGTCGGCTATCGAGCGGCAGGAGAGACAAGACAACGAACCGATTCTCGCGGCAAACGCAACACATTTGGTTGACAATATCGGGGGAAAATAAAGCAAAGAATGGAACATAGTGTCTCTGGCTCGGGGGCGCCCCCAGATGTGCTCACGATCCGCTCCGATCTTCGGTGCGGTGCCGCTTTTTGAGTGGCTGCTGGGATGTGCTCTCGAGTGGATTCTATTTTTAGCGGCGCCCCGCCATTAGACGAGACGACATTGGCGGCACTCTAAGCCAGAAGGACGCTAAATCGTCCCCAGACCACGCCCCTAGCCACGATCGAGTATAGTCTGAGTTTTATTTACGAGTTGCCCGCCTCATGGCAGTGCGGATTTTCTGCTCAATGTAAACTGTGCTCATTCGTTGTTTGTGAAAGGCTTATTCCGGGTATATTTATGATCGCGCGGAGGGAAATCCAATAAATCGGATCCTACCTGAAGAGCGATTAGTGCTGGGGCATAAATTAGTTGTGCGGCAGCAGAGCAATTCGTTAATGTGACACTTTTAGTGGAGGAGTCTCTCCCTCCCCCAGTCTCCAGTTCCCAGTCCACGGTCACCTCCTCTTCCTCCACCTTCCAATTGTCTTCGTCTTTCCATAGAGATTGAGTGCCTGTTGGCTGGGTGTGGGGATTTGCCCTTGTTTTCCCCGGGCCACCACATTAAATTGAGCAGAAAAATTATAATACACGTAAAGCGAGTGGAAAATAGAAAATGGTCTGAAAGAAATTCTGTTTATTTATCGCTACTCAAACACAATATATATCTTTGGAAATCACCTTTAAATCTTCCCAAACGATATTGTAAATCTTTTTGTCTTGGGCTCTCGTTGTGGTTTTCTTTTCCTGTGCATTTCCAAGTTTCTTTCTCCCATTTCATTTTATTTTGCTTTTCTCGCTTTTGTTTTACCCGCTGTACATTGATGGATGTTTTGTTTTGATTCCGGCTGATGGTATTTTGGTAACGGGGACTATTTGTTGTGCCACACGATAATCCCAATTGTAAATCCCATCATTATCGCTTGGAGAACGTTTTTATTCGAGCTGTTTGAATAAATATGTATTTTAAACATTTTCCATTCGATAATGCATTTGCAGTTAGGATTTCATTTGTTGATCGACGCCTGTCACCAGCCAAATGGATCGATTTTTCAGATAAAATCTTGAGGGTATAATCAGTATAAGTTGGTTTAATGTGGATATATTGGTCACAAGCTTTTCTACCTTGAAAAATATAATTTATTCTCCCATTTGGAAAATTAAAAAAACTTCAACGGAAAAAATGCATACCTTCCTACAGCTACTTTGAAGCGACACCTAGCGACGAGTGGATACCTTTCTTACACTACATTTTACACGCTGTCTGCAACTGAATGAGCGTAAAATCTTTAGTTCAGTTAATATTCCGCTAGAGCGCGCAGTGGAAGTGCGACTCCCTTGGCGGGCTGTAGAACATTTCAAAAATAGTGTTGACTGGCCTAGAGGAAGCTTCTGGACGTGGTTATATCTACTAGTATTTCTTTACTGGGAGACTCCTGGGAATATCTCACTCCATAGCAAGGATACAAACTCTTTTTTTTGCCCAACGGAACTGTGAGAGTACAATTGTGGAACCTGCAGCCATCAATAGACTTGTACCAATTTCCAGAATGCTTTTTGCCTGTTCTGGGAAACTGACGCAATATTGGAGTCATTTACGGACGGGTAGGTCCGCAGCTGCTTATCAGCGGTGTAGGTATTTCTTTCTTCATATTTATAAGGTTGGGCGGTCTTAACATGAGAACCACTTGCGAAGAAAACACAAGCGGCACAACACTTTCCAATTAAGACAATTATAAACGGATATGTTGCTGTTGTCTGCTAATTGCCTATGCCCTTGCCTTTGTTGATCTGTGTAAATTTACTGCAGCTTTCTCACCTGTTGTTCTGGTTGCTGTTACTGTTGCCATGGGACAGGTCTTTCATTCATAAAAATGTGCACCATGCGGCAACAAAACGTAAAATTACGTCAGCCAAAGAGTAAAAGGTGGAACGAGAGAGATGGCAGAAACAGATGCGCAGCCAGAGAGAGAGAAAAAATGAGAGCAATGTTGTCGTCAGCATAAAAACCCTTGAGGAAAAAAGTTTCTGCTAAGGTGAGGCACTTCCAGGTAGAACTCAAATTCCAGCAACGCGATGCTCAATGTATGTAAATATGTACAAATATTCATACATACATTAGAACTCGATAAAAGTAAAGTCCGATTAAACATTTTATTTGTATACTTTGAAGATACTGCAAACTATTTAGTATATTATGTACACGAATCATAATCACAGCGAGAGAGAGTGCCAGAGAGAGGCCACCTCACCTTATTTAGTTTCCCTCTCACCTTGGTAAACGTACACGCCAAATAGTGCAATCGCACCTTCGTACATGCATACATGCATACATACATACATACATACATGAACAAGTACGAAACAAAAAGCCGGTTCAAGTGTACATACATATAATAAATCGCAAAAGAAAATGTTTTCACACTGTATGCTTTTACACAGCAATGAAGTCAATAGCAGAGAGCTTTGTCATCCAACTGCGTGGCGTTATTTGAGCGCGGAAAAACGGCGCATTCACAATTTAACCGTTGGACGCGCGCTGTGCGATCCACGGGAACGAGAGACTCTTGTTGTTATTGCTAAACTCGAAAAGAGCGGTACAAATGTTAATTCTTAGTTCTACGCAACGTCGCGTCGGGTAAACAAAACGGAAAGAAAATGCTGATAAAAAAGAATAATAATAAACAATTGGTGCAAAAGTTGAACGGAAATTGATAAGTGCGCGCTGGGCCAAGAGTGATTTGAGTATTCGACCATTAATTGTGAAAGTGGCCACTAATGTACACGTACAGGTAATGCTCAGCTGCTGCACATCATCCTTTTCGAAAATGTGTCAGTGTGCCAAAAGTGTTCATCATATTTCTCTCTGGCAGACAGGTCTCGGTCGCTTAAACTTGTAGAAATGTACATATGTAAAAAAATAACATAGATGTGTAGGCATATATATGTATGTATGTATGTACTTATGTACATGTAATGTTCTGCCACAGCTGAAAGCTTTCATTGTCAGCACGTGAATACATACATACATATGTACATATATGTACATACGTATGTACATTTGTACATTTGTATGTATTTATTTACTTATTTACATTTACAACTCTCGGGCATGATGTTGTTATTTAGCTTTGTGTGCGTTTTGTTTTTGTGTCCTCCTTTGTAATCTGGCTGCTACCGCGCAATCTCTCTGTTATCTGATGTTGCTCTCTCCTCCAAAGTGTATTAATATAAGGTGCTGCTTATACGTATATTAAAAGGAGTTAAAACTCACTAAGATACTAGGAGATAAAGATATTCGTGCATGCTTATTGAGCCATAGGGCTCAATATATGTACATATGAATATTTTTAGTTTTGTTTAATATATACATGCATACATACAAATTTGTGCCTTGAACTCATCGAGAGTAAGAGCTTTTCGAAAACGCATCACCACTTGCTCTTTCCACCCCCACACACTCACTCTCTCTAGGAAGGCTCTCCCCCTGTGATTTTTGTTTTTGCTTTAGTTTTATAAGGTAAGTGTAAGTGTATGCGTAAATACCTATAGTTTTATTTATTGTCAACACACTGTGAATGCAAGTTGTTGATGCACATTGCGAGAGCCGACCCTGAAATTAAATGAGACTCGAATTAATTGATATACAATTACAGTACATCCATATGTACAAAAGAATGTATACGTTTGTGCCCAAAATGATATAAACAATTTAAGAATTCTGATTCCATAATAGGTAGATTCAAGAATTATAGGATAGCAAGCTGGCCGATTCTCTGAAGATTAATTTTCTCACAGCTGGAATCTCCATTACATGGACAGCTTCCCCGTAGTGTCACATGCTCAAGGTCAAACGCACAAAGCCCTGGCTGCCAGCTGTGTGAAAGAAGATTATTAACCAAAATGATAGTTGCATTAGTTTCTCAGTCGACATCACATTTATGTTTCCCACTCTGTTAAAAGAGGATACATCTTCATTAATGAATAGATACATACATAAATATGCACATATTTATAAAAGCTTTAACTTGTGTATGTACATACATATATTTAGGGCCCGTCACGTTTCACAATGATATTAATACGCTTAAACAATTATTCAGACCCATCGACGAGTCATTTCCCATTGCCCTTTTTGGCACGTGCCGTGTGCATTCCTCAAATGGAAATGTATAAAAAGCTTTTTTTAAAACATATACACATGTATGTACATACTTGTGTATGTGGATATTTGAATTAAAAAGCCTCTTACACTTTAATTTATACTCACTTGACAGCTAACCCATTTAAAAGCAAAATATTTCAATTATAAAACTATTTCAAGGTTGTCAAGCACTTAAGTACAGAGAAATGAAATGCAATCAAAAAGTAAATTTACGGGCACATTTATGGCACAAAGAAGTAAATACGAGACAAATATAGGCACAAGTAAATATTTGAAACAAACAGAAGAGAGTCTGTAGAAGGAATCAGCAGCAATATTCAACAATTGTTTTTCCAGTTGTGAGAGCAAACATCCGCTTAAAGAAATTATTTGAGCAAAGATCTTTAAGTATTGGCCGCAAACATCAACAAAGTCCAAGATGCAAGATTGTATTTTGTTTGAGTGTCTACTGTATAGTCGTGTATTAAGTAAGAGAGAACCAAAATAAGAGCGCAACACGTGTGGTCCCCCACTGAAACCCACTAAAAATGAAACGAATGTTCCCACCACACTGATTGAACACAAAATTAAAATGCGCAAAAGACCAAAATTGAATGAAGCAAAATTAGGCCAAATGTGTTAATTGTTAAAGACCTAGTGTACGTACGAGAGACCTGGAGCCCTCAAATGTTGTTTACTTTACGTGTTGTTGTTCTACCCGAATGTCTGGCAAACACTTTTATCTGTCATCTGGCTAATTTCTTATCACACTCGTAGACTCTGCAACAAAATAGTTTCAAGGGGACAGCATTTTGCAACTCTACGTGGTATCTGGGGGGCCTTTGCTTATCGAAAGCCCCTGCAGACGCAGTCATAATGAACTCTTATCAGGTTTAGCGATGATAAGAAAAGGAAACAACTGGGCGATTATAAATTACACTCTCGAGTGTTGTTCGGTCTGGAGGGTGATTTGTCAATAATGTTTAGCAGCCGGCCTGGCCGGTGGTTACCGTCTCAATCCATCCATATTTAATAGCCATTTTTCGAGGGGGAATTAAATGTTTTAAATTTCCTTATGTATAATAAAATAAAATATATTTTTAATTGTTTTGGCAGAAGTGCAAGTCAACAAGTGTAGGGGCTGGAGTGGCTTCCAATTAATTGTATAATGTCCCAATATAAAAGAATTAATACACTTGAGACATGTGGAGAGGCATTTAATTCGATTACGATGGCATTTTTAAGGGGGCTTGCTTTATTTGAGAAAATATAGTCTTAAATACTTTGTACCTTACAGAGAATGATATGCCAAAGAAAGTCGCTTTAATTCCATTCATTCAGTTTGCTGTCAATCCTAATTGTGTTAATTTGCTGTGAGATGAAATTCAAGTGATACCAACAAGCAAGTAATATAAGAAAGAACAAAATGTAGACAGCTGCACGTAAAACCCCCCAATACAAACCAACCCCAATGCAAAGGCCAATCCATGGAGTATTCGTGTCTCTCTATGGTTTCGTGTGCTTTGTGGACTTTTGACGAGCTCTGCTCCAGAGCCTCCAACTCACGTATGAGCACACAGATACTTGCCTACACTCTATATGTATACATATGTATGGACATGTGTGCCGGTACATGCCATATCTTTTTTACTTAAGCATTTTGTTGTGTATACAGAAAACGGAGCACAGAATTTTAGGCTAGCGCCTGTTACCGAATCATACACCAAAAACAGGTTGATATTAGCCATAGGTTGGCCTTCCATCTGCCCTTTTTCCTCCACCTACACACATCGAGGAAAAGACACCAGCAAACACTTTTATATAAACAATACGAGAATGAGAGGGGAAAAAACCTGTGATAACCTTGAACCGTTGGCAAAAAACTTTCACAATGAAAAAAGTTCAGTATCAAGGACCCAGAAATGTGTAGCGAGCAGATTCTCTTTTTCGGAGCGTTTTTCATTTGCCAAAAGAGACGAGGGGACACCATTGCGTGTACGTAACGAATGCGTAAGAAAGGTGGATGTACGAATAGCTATGGGTATGCGTCTGGGTATTGGTGGGTGTTTGTATCTGAGCATGTGCGTGCGAGTGCCGGTGGCGGATGTGCGTTAGGTTTTTGAACTTGTTTTCTTTTCGTTTTCGGTTTGGTAATTTTCCATCCAGCCAGCCTGTTTTTGGGTCAATTTATTTATGCAAAATGCCAAACCGAACCCCAAGAAGAAGACATACATGCCTCTATAACGTTATAAAAATAAAATACACAGGCTGGTATTTAGAAACAGCGTATAAAAACAGAAAGCTCAGAGATACACTCACGCAAAGAGAGAATGAGAAGCAGAGAGGGAAGGCGGCAATCAAAACAAAGAGTGCAAAATGTATACGATAAGCGATATAAAATGGCTAAAAATACAAGCACAACATTTAAACACACTCACATATGTACATATATCTTGACCGTATACCGGATATATCGTTTGCCATGCCATACCATGACCGTGCCTTGTTAATGGGACCCATCACATCACGATCCGATGGTGTGGCAGGCCGGCACCTCTTATGCCCAAAACATTCACATTCATATGCGGATTGGTCTGTCCGTTTAAGTTATGCGTTTAGTATAGGGCGAGTGTCGATGTACAATAGTTAGCAGAATTGGCTCCCACATTCAATATAAGCCCCTCATGTCATTCCATTTGCAAAAGTAAAATCTTAATTGATATGGGGCTTAAAATAAGCAGAAGAATGAATGCTCTTTAATACAAACCATTGACCGTTCAAGACAAGATCTTCGAGAGAAATCATTTAACGGATGATATGCGCACAGATTGGCACTTTTGTAGTTCAAAGAACTTTATGGATGAGCTCGCACTTATAGTTCCACGAAATCCCTCAGATTTGAGCCTATCTAATCAGTGTAATAGCTGTTACAATTCCCCTATCAACTGTGGGTTTGTGTTGCCAGGCAGAGACAAACAGAGAGAAATAGAGTACCACATGATTAATTCCTCATAAATAAGGAAAATCCAGGAAAACCAATAATAAAATTAATATATGTAGAAATATTTACCAGTAATACCACACATCAGTTGATGTGATTTATTTTGTGTCTGGCCGGCGCTATACGATCCATGTGGATGACATGATTGGCAAGTTTTAAAAATCAATCCACAATCGAATCGAAATTTGAGGCATTTATATATTAATGATTATTAAATGCCCCCCAATTTATGAGCGATCCTTGAGGTGAATGGGATTTCTTTCTGCGTGTCGATTTTCCATGCCAAGTCATTATATGATCGACTATTATTTAGCGTTTATAAGGTATATAAATGTTTGACTTTATTTAATTGTTTGATTATGATTATTTATGGATCGCGTTAACTTTGCCTTTAATACGAACACAGAAAGAGCCTAAATGCCGGTTTCCCCCTCGATAGAGTGCGACCTACACAGACGGGGAGAGAGTGAGAATGGGAGAGTGTGAAATTGAGAGAACTTGGGAGAGAAGCAACCATTTGAATAGACGTTCCTCCACATTCATAGCTATAGCTCTCTGTAGATAAGTCTTGAGAGTCGTCAGACACAGAGCGTCATAAATATTTATTTAACATTTTTTTCCGACTCTGGGGGATTCTTCCTCTTCTCCGTCTGGGGCGTTGGAAATGTGTTCGGTTTTCGCGCAGGTCGGCGTTTTAGTTCCCTGCCGATCGCGGAACTATTTAGTCGCAGTCGACGAAGAGAAGCGACTAGCAAATACAACAAAAATAATAAGCGCAGGAAACCAAACCCACAAACACACACACGCCTTTCGAATTTATAAAGTAAGCTTCAGCTTAAATAATAGAACAAATATGCCATAACTACAAAAACACATTAGGAAACAATGTTTCAAAATATTTTCTAAATTTCACTCTACTCTCTTTTCCGAACAGAACCCACAACGTAGACTCTCGGTGGACAGGTCGAGCCGGTGCCCGGCGAACAATGTAACAGCGAGACCAACGAGCGTGGAGAGACAGAGAGGAGCGGGAGTCTGCATGTCCCAAGGAAGCAGCATGTCAAACTAGCATCATAAGAAGACAAAGGAGCGGCCCATAACACAGGACACAGAAAGTTAGGAACCCAGAGAAAATTGGCTCAAACAGATCGGGAAGACATGGCTCACTATAGTGGACATCAGCAGGCAGCGGCAGGGGCAGTGCCCGCATCCTTTAAAGATCTCTTCACCAAAGGCCAGCTGGGTTCCGCGGAGGAGGATGGCAACAACAATCCAAACGACGGCAATAATGAGCAGGAGAACCGCCTGAACAATGCCAACAACAATGCACAGGAAGGAGCTGAATGCTGGGTCTTTGGATACGGCTCCCTCTGCTGGCATCCGGGCTTCACCTTCAGCAAGTGCATCACGGGCTATGTCCGGGGATTCGTGCGTCGCTTCTGGCAGGGAAATACCACACATCGCGGCACAGAAGAAAAGGTGAGCCCCATCCCTGAATCTATTAGTTTGCTATTTACACTTGTCTGGCTGCCACTGAGGCAATCTAAATATTATTATATTATGGCAATTATTTGCTAAATGTTGTGCTGCTGAAACACAGCTTTCGTTATCTATTTGTCGCGTGTTATCAGCCCTTGTCGGGCCTGGGGCGGGCTAATGGCAAACAAACAAGTGAAATTAACATATGCCAGTCAGGCAGCCATCAACGCGGCAGTACTCATAGCCATAGCCAAGCGATTTCGATTCCCCATTAAGATACAGATTGGATATCCATTAGCATAACTGATTCGCTTGCCCAACAAGTGGCGAGGCGCGGCGGGAGACGGGTCAAGCCCATTGCAATAGTGATGCCCACAAATGGGAGGGGAGGTGAAACACGTTTCGGGTTGGACATGTTTTAAGATGATATTTAAGGTAACATTCCTTAATACTTTTGGAGCAAATTGAGTAACAATTTGTTATGGAACGTAGAATCGAATTAGTAGGTATAGGAACGTGTTTATTATTCAGCACATCTTGACTTCTATCAGTTGTAGCTCTCCCTCTTCCCCGATTCCCTTCGTGCACAGTTCCAAAAACAATTAATCAAAAGCCCTTATGGAATAGTATAGTTGTATAGTAGAGTTTTACGCAACACCAATAGAAAATGTGTACCAGCCATCTGTGTCACTCCTATGACAAAGAAACCGAGGGGGAAAATAAGTCAAGGTCCACCTTTTATATTTTATTACTCGTTTACGTTTACAATAAGTAAAGAAGAAAAGTAAGCAGAACGTGCACTCTGGGTGTAGGCGAGCGGCCGTGGAACCTTTGTGAGGGCGATAAATGCAATCCATATACATATACATAAGAGAATACGAATAAAGTGCATTTTGCAATATGTGGGATGATGAATAATGCCAACATTAACATTTGCCTCTCTTTGTGTTTTACAGCCTGGGCGTGTAGCGACCCTAATGAAGGACAACGAGGTAAGTAAACTCGAGCGTAAAACTCATAAATTACTGGAAGAAAAAAAGTGTATTCGCCGTCCAAATTTCCCAATGTAAGCCCCATTCAGTGTAGGCGACACTCCATGAGGAGGCCAACCAACTCGTCCATATCTTAGATGAAAAACTCTGGCAGATTTCCGCAGACAACCGAGCGTAATAATTCGAGTTCCTTGCGGACCTCTCTTCATCATATGCAAGGCGAAATTCCGCGGAATATAGGTGAATGCGTGCCTGCTCTGGGCAGGCAAGAGCACATGCAATTTTACACCTTGAAACTTTCTATCCTAGGCCCGGGGACTTTACCCAGGGCATTGATCGAGAGTTACCAGGAACTCGTTTGTGACCCCGAGAGACAAGCATGAAAAACTCAAACCGGCTCATAGAACCACCTAACGAACGGTATTTATACTCGCACACTAAAGAAAAAATACTTGGGAATTATAAGATTAGAAAATCCACAAAAAAACAGCTCGGGTACAAATCACGTTAAGGATAAAGAAGAAATCTTATCTATTATTAGATTATTTTTCAACAAAAATATCTTTGATTTTGTTTTTTAATGTTTTTCTTATTTTTAATTGCAGGGTATTACATGGGGCTGCGCTTACAGGGTAACAGGCAACAAGGCCCTCGAGTATCTCAAGCAGCGCGAATGCACGTTAGGTATGTGATAAACAAATGTTGTCTGACCCCACGTTAACCACGACTCCAATCCTCCGCAGGTGGCTATGCAACCCTCGAGGCAAAGTTCTTCCCCCGCGTCGCCTCCCAAGACACACCCTTCAGTGGCGAGGCCGTCGAGGTGCTGGTGTATGTGGCCACGCCGGAGAACCATCATTGGCTGGGCGAGGCACCGCTGCCTCAGATTGCCCACCAAATCGCCACCTGTCGTGGTCCGAGCGGCCACAATGCCGAGTACCTGCTGCGCCTGGCGATGTTCATGCACGAGGAGATACCCGGCGTGCGAGATGAGCACTTGTTCGAGCTGGAGCGCCTGGTGCTCGATGAGCTGTACCGCCAAGAAATAACTCTGTCTTCTGTGATGGGCCGCAATCCGGATAGGATACGTCGCGACTCCCACGAGGATATTCGCCGCCAGCCCTCGTTCGAGTTCACGTCTCGCGTGCCTGAGACGAAACTCCGCTGCCTCAACATTTGATTGTGGGCACAGTGGCGGGTGGTGTCCCCGTCCGACAGGCAGCAAGTGATATGCACGCGGTGGCCATTATTTCTGTAGAAGAAGATGCCAAACTGACTATCGACATTTAGCACCCTAGGAAACCAGAGTCTACCACTAAATTCGCTGTATTCTTACAATTTTAAATAACCCATACGGATAAGCACTAACTAGCCTTAAGCAACATCTCCTCGATAAGTGATCTGATCTAGCAAATAAGCGTAGGCTTAGTCTAGTCAATAAGTTGTGTCCTCAACGCACAAGAGCCAACAACATTTTTACACGCGACACTTTCAGGGAGATAAAAGAATGAAACAATAGTCCGAAAGTTAATAAACCAAAACGAAACAATGACTTTAGATGTGATTTAGTTAAATACAAAGGCATTTACGCAAATGGAAATCAATATCGAGCGAAACTCTAATGCAAACTTAAGCCTAATTGGTGAGAATTTCAGCTGCACGATTCTCCATTAGCTTCTCCATGCTTGTGATCGATCCCATCCAGGAGTCCAGGGTGCTGGCCATGCCTACGATCTGGCTGCGATCAAGAACGCGCGGTTGCACCCACGACATGTTCACAACGCCAGCCACCTGATCGATTTCGCCACGCACCAGATCCAGGGCCAGGGCTTTCATGATCAACAGCTCCACTTCCTTGGCCGGCAGTTTGGTCTCATGGGCAATGTCCGTAAAGGAAATGGCGCGCTGGATGGCCGAGCGTTTGAATGTCATCTCCATGAGGCAGAGCAGAGATATCTTCTGGCGCAGCTTGACCTCCTGGGCAGCCAGATCGGGAATCTTTGACCAGATCTTCTTCATGTCATTGAATCTGTGGAGTACTAAGTTTAGCCACTGGCCTACGGATGATGTGGCTCTACGTACTTGTTAATATCGCCTGTGTTAAATGCCTTAAGTAGATCCACCAGCCACACGTTGTCGGTGCCCTGCAGCGACTCCAGGATGGGATGCGCCAGCAGCTCGCCAATGTTATAAACGCCATCGCCGAGCAGGGCAGCTAGTCCCAGGAAGAAGGCCTGCTGTGCCCATTGGTCGCGTGGGTAGTCGTCCAGCGAGCAGCCCAGGAACTGCAGTCCGCACCGGTAGTAGTCGCTGTGCTTGCCCACACGGCGATAGTACTGCGAGGCGAGCATGTAGTATTTGCCGTGAACAGGCGTCACATTGCCGGCCTCCTCCAGGACATCGCGCAACTCCTCGATGATCTTCTTGGTGGAGTTCAGATCGTTCAGATTTGTTAGATAGAGGTTGCCCTGCATGACCTGCAGATACCACACAGCCTCATCGCAGATCTTGACTTTGTCCTTAATTTTCTCGAGGAACTCGATGGCCTCTGCTTTGTCGCTAATGTTGTCCACGACTACTTCAAGAATTTGGATCAGACCATATGGGTTTATTCTGTAAATCAAGAATTATTCAACGTGAATCTGCAATTGTGCCAAGTCATGGCGGCGGGACTTACTTTGTTTCAAAGGTGGAAAGGAAGCTCTGGTAGAGCTGCAGCAGCGCCGACTCGTCCTGCAGCGACTCATGGCGCACGAATGTCACCAGCTTGATGGTCAGCTCGTTCCACAACCTATGCAAAACTTATAATTAAATCAACAATTTCGAATCCATGAGTTTTTTGCTTACTTTTCATTGTACAGCTCCTCTATGAGGGTCCACTCGGCAGCGAGATCTTTGTTTGTGGTCTTCTTCTGTAAGGCCAAGTAAGCGGTGACGGTCGCCTGTGTGTTAGACATTTTCTTTTCGTTTATTCAAGAGTTTTCCCAAACTAAATGTTTTTTTTTTTCCAAATTACTAAAATTGCAAATCACAATCGCCGACGCAGATAGTGTGACCGATGTAACAATAAAATATACCGCATGCCCCTAAAAACATTCCAAGAAAATACCATCGCATTTCCAAAATATACCGAAAGCAATTTCATGTTCCAGAATTTTCAATTCATTATATTTATTTTAATTATATAAATTGCGAATTGTATCTTTTTCCAGTAAGCTCAATAGCAGCAAAAATTACAGGTTTCTTCTCATTTTTTTAATAAGATCATGTCACTAAAATTAATCACGGAACATTTAAGCAGTTGAAAAACCACAATGGGGATACCCCCACTGACAGATGTTTTTCGTTTACACAGATTTTCTATAGAAAAAAAAAAAAATTTGCAACAAAATATTTTTGCACGGATTTGATTAAACAAAGGCTGGGGCGAAAATGAACGAAATTAAGGAAGTGGTTGTTATTGTTAAATGGAGCGGCAAGGAGTACCCGGTGGACTTGACCGACCAGGACACCGTCGAAGTGCTGCGCCATGAGATCTTCCGCAAGACACAAGTGCGCCCTGAGCGTCAAAAGCTTTTAAATCTAAAGTATAAAGGTAATTTCCATTTACCATACCAAAGCCACTCGTCTACAGCCTGATATTGCAGGCAAAACCGCTCCGGACAATGTGAAGATAAGTGCACTGGAGCTGAAGCCGAATTTCAAGCTGATGATGGTCGGCTCGAAAGAGGCGGACATTGAGGACGCTTGCCGCCTGCCCGAGGATGTGGGCGAGGTGGTGGACGACTTCGATGATGCCGAGGAGCGCGAAGAGTCCGTGGAGAACTCGGCAGTGTATCTGGCCAAGGTTCAGCGCCGCGTGCGTGACTACAAGATAAAGGAGCTCTCACCGCCACGCGAGGGCAAGAAGCTGCTCGTGCTGGACATAGACTACACGCTCTTTGATCACCGCTCGCCAGCGGAGACAGGCACAGAGCTGATGCGTCCGTACTTGCACGAGTTTCTCACATCCGCCTATGCGGATTACGATATAGTGATCTGGTCGGCCACTAGCATGCGCTGGATTGAGGAGAAGATGCGTCTGCTGGGAGTGGCCAACAATGAGAGCTACAAAATTATGTTCTACCTCGACTCGAATGCAATGATCTCGGTCCACGTTCAGGAACGCGGTGTAGTGGACGTGAAGCCGCTGGGCGTCATCTGGGCCCTCTACAAGCAGTACAGCGCCAGCAACACCATTATGTTCGATGACATTCGCCGCAATTTCCTAATGAATCCCAAGTCTGGCCTCAAGATACGCCCCTTCCGGCAGGCCCACATCAATCGGGCCACGGACACGGAGCTGCTGAGGCTCTCTGAATACTTGCGCAAGATTGCCCTTCACTGCAAGGACTTCAATTCGCTCAACCATCGCAAGTGGGAGAGCTATCATCCCAAAAAGAACTCCTGAACAGCCGCCTGAACAATTATCTCAGTTTTCCGCTTCGATTGTATGTAAGATTCGCATTAGTTTATTAAATTAAGATGCATTTTGTACGCGTCCCAGACATTTACAGTGTGTATCCGCCCTGGTCCGCCCAGTGGACGCGTCTAGCCTCTAGGTACTCCTCGTGCAGCCGCCGACGCTCCTCCTCCAGCTTGGCCAGGCGTCTGTACCGCTGCAACACCATGCCGCAGCCGAAGAGCATAGCCACCTGGCAGATGAGCCAGAAAATGAACAGTGCAATCAGAAGGCTCTGATTCATGCAAACATTATCCAGATGGAGCTGGTCGTCGATGCCAGCGATCAGCAGCACGCCGCGCTCCCCGTACAAGTAGCTGTTGGCGTTGGTCTGGTCCGGGCCGTGAACGCGAAGATTGTAGTTAAGCGGCAGCTCCACCTGCGCACTCGAGTTGCCCATGGAGCGGGTAGACGTGTTGTTGGCGGGCGCATCGGGCAGCACATCCACAACTGTCGAGATATACACTGGATTCTGCACTCTCCGCTGCTCCAGCTGCCGCTCCGGCTGCTCCACCTGGCGTCTGTGACGCTGCCAGGTGTCACTGCTGTGGCCCACACAATTGCTTGGAGAGCAACGGTCCACGCAGAACCGAATCTTCACATCGAAATTAACGTTGGCGGTGCCTGAGAACTTGAACGCATGGAAGCGGGCTCGCAGCATGCTTCTGGCGTGTGTGCGAACGCGCTCGAGGGCCGGGAAGACACTGGCATCGGTGGGGCAGCCGCGTTCATCGATCAGCAGCACGTAGTTCTCGTTATCCTGCGTTTTGGCCACCAGAGAAGTCGCTCGGAAATCCGGCAGAGGCGCCAGCTGCAGCTCCATATGCTCGGCCAACTGATGCGGGCTGTATTCGGCTACAATTTGCAGCTCCAGGTTTTGGCCAATTTGCACATCATTCGTTTCGTGCTGGTGCGAGAGATCGACTATCTGGAGCGTGATCTTTGGATGCGGATGGGGTCCGGTGGTGCTGTTGTAGTGCACCACTCCCTCCTGTGGAAACATGCTGCAAGAAGAGAGGATCAACACAGAGAGGATTGGGTACTCGTATGCGGTTACTTACTGCTCGGCATATTCCAGCGAGGACTCTAGAGCAATGGCGCTGGGTATGTGCTCCGAGGCATCCACACTGCTGTCCCGCACAGACACGCCCAGCGAGCCGGTGGCGTTGCTTTGGATGCAGCCCACCTTGATGAGTCGGTCGCCTTGGGTCTGCACACTCGGATTGTTCTGGATAACCACCAAGGCGGAGATGAATGTTCTGAAAAGAAAAGAGGTTTTGGATTGAGGAAATACAACAACATCTACATACGTATATTTATTGCTTACCTCTGGTATGCCTGCGTCATTTCATAGGCCCGCAGTATTCCGCAGCGATTCTCTTTGACCTCGCTGCCAATTCGAAGCGACAACAGGACACTGCCGTTGCCTGTGCCGTGTGCCAGGCAGTCCTTCGAGTGCATGCTGGCATAGATCTTGCCGACAAACCAATCCTTTGGGTTGTACCTGATGCTCATCTCCTCCCTCGTGCAGAAGACTTGAACTTTTGGGAAGAAGATTAAGTTTGTATAATACTGGAGAAGCATTCGTATGTACTCACCATCCAGGCACTTGACTCTTCTCATATAGACAGAGCTATCGCGTAGCTTCAGGCTGCGCGGACCCAGCGAGACAATGTCCTCCGAGTGTAGGAGGCACTCGGAGAGGGAGAGCTGATTCACATAGTGGAAGGAGACACCCTGGCAGTAGAATTTAGACTCGTGCGAGCACAGCGCCTGACACTGCAATGCGAAAGGGTCATAAATCAATCATTCAGTTGCCATCCGAATCGATTACAATCATAATGCGCGACAGTCGAAGCACGACGAGCCCGGGACAGACACACCTCTTTTTGGGTTAGGCCCAAATATTTGGCTTCCGCGTAGATGAAACTGCTGTTGGCATAGAGCTCATACGAACAGTTGTCGCTCTCTATGGCGCGCTCGTGGCACTGGTTCTCCATGTACTCCTCATCGTAGGGCGCCGCCCTGAAGGCATCTGGCTGAATGGTCTT